CCCACTGCCACCTACTGGCGGTTTTAATTTCACATTTAAAGTACCTTTTTATTATTTAAATAATTTCAAAAATCAGTATTCAACGTTTTATGTTTAATATATCAAAACATTATTTATGCATTTGTAAAAATAGGCCTTTGTAAAGGTAAATAAAAATATGCAGATTTAAGTTGATAGAACATTGATGAAAATATTCCTTTAGAATAAATTGTTTGCACCACCAAAAATCTTGGTGATGCAGTGCTTTTATGGAGATATTTTGAATGGAATATTGTCTTCTGATATGAAAAGTTCACTGTGTATCTTGGTAATAAATTTTATTTATTACAGTGATGATATTTTGTTTTCTTTTTACGTTAAACACATTAAATATTACATATATGTATGTAATATAATGTGTACTTCCATTACAGGTTTAGGTCTTAAATTTCATATAAGGTGGTATTAAAAAGGTCTTAAAGTCTTAAATTTAACTTGTTCATGTCTGTAGAAACCCTGTGTACTGAGATCACAGTGCTGAATAAGTGTCCCAGGACGGGGTCTGCGGGTGTTTTTCACCTGTTGACTTGTGTGGAGGGTGTGAGTTATTGGCCGGTTTGAGTGTTGCTGATGATGGCAGCTGATTGGTCTGTCAGCAGCGGCTGATGCTCCTGCAGTGAGTCGTGGGGCGTCTCGTAGGGGTGTGCGATAATGACAAAAAAAGATATCTCGATATTTTCCGGAATTTTGTCTAACTATAATTAGACAATATTTTGCTGAGCGTGTTATTGTGCTGGTATTTTGGCTTGTTATTGTGAGCGTGTTATTGTGCTCATATTCTGTGAGGTGGTTAGTTTGCAAGAGTAACAGAAATTTACTTTTCCAATAAGTTTACATTGATTTTTACCTTTTATGTGCATTTTTACCTTTTATAAGGCAATTTTTTTCTAACATAATTAAATGTATGCATCATTTTTTGTCAAATTCTTACATTTAATCAATACATTTAAATAGTAAGACACTATAGGGCTGTTACCAATCAAATGAAATCAGTATTGACAAAATTTGTGTTTGCAATGCAGAGATGGCACAGAATCTGCATCTGACGTGGCATTTAGATGCATTCACACAGACTGTTTAATGCAGGACATGAATGCAGTTCACCTGCAGTTACAAATGCATAAATAATGTTTTGATGTTTTAAAAACGAAACGTTCAATAGTATTTGAAATGATTCTGGGGGAAAAAATTATTTTAAATATAAACTTAAAATCGCCAGTAGGTGGCGGCAAATCACTGCACGAGTGAGTCATTGAGTCATTCATTCAACCGATTCGTTCAAACGGCTGATTGATTCAGTAACGAAACACCGCCGTGTAGGTATGCACTGAATGTTCAGCAACCGAAATTATTCGGCCGAACATAGCAAAAAAATCTATTTCGGTGTTCGGCCAAATAAGCGAAAAGGCCGAATAATATGTACCGAACAATGACTAACGCAATCAAATAGAGGCACGCACTAATGCAGCAAACTTGTCGGCAGTGTGAAAGTATATTTAAAACTATCAGAGAAAAACGCAGAAATCATTACAAGCACGAAGCACCGACAGCAAGAGACTTTAGTGCTGCATCACATGTCTCCGATGAGAAGAAGAGGTGGCTGATGCTGGTGGTTAGGCTACTGATTGAAATCGTGAAATGGCCTCAAACGATTAGTAAATAAACTGCAGAATGATATATTTTCTAATGCATGCACGAATTGCATGTATTCTGACCGCGCTGCACGAGCTCGCGCCAGGGTTCAAAGTCCAAAGCGCGAGGAAAATCTGCGCTGAAACTGTTACTCGTCAGTTGTTCAGTAACATTTGTGTGAATTTTTTAAAGGCCCGTGACAATGTGATACGTGCGACAAACATCTTCCCAAATTCGTAATGAGAATCATTTATAAATCTGCATGCTGTTGTCAACAAAAAGAAGCACTGAGATCTTCCTGTGGGTTTCTGCCAAAATAAAAGCCGAGAAAAAGCAACAACTCCATCAACATTCATAAATGTTAGTATTGTAAGTTTACTGTTGTTCTGTAAAAGAACATAATAATGATAATAATAATTACCCTACAACTGCTCTATTAATACATTTATTATAACATTCACACAGTGTTCAAATTGGGATCTGTAATATATTCTAATGTTTTAAAATAATTCTCTTCTGCTCAGCAAGGCTGCTTTTATGTGTACAGTAATAAATACATGCCTGATTCAAGTCTCAAAAATGGCCAAAAAAATATTATTTTACTAACTTGGTAGTAGGCATCCGTCTGTCTCGGGAGACAATGGTAGCGCCCTGTCCGGTTTGTTCAGTTTTGTGGAGAGCAGCGTTTGATGTGGCTCAGCAATCCGACATTTTGGCTATTTAATTTATGCAATGGTGAAATAAAATGGCAAAATAGGCCTACATGGGGGGAAAAATGCGAAAAACCGTGTTCAGTATTCGGTATTTGGCCTTTGGCCCAGTGTTTCATTTTGTTCGGCTTCGGCCAAGAATTTTCATTTTGGTGCATCCCTACCGCCGTGCGTTGCTCAGAGACGCAAAACAGTTTGAAATAGAGCAAAAACAGGAGCTTGTATTTAAAATGTAAGTCAATTAATATTAACTTCAATATTAAAATCAATATCACATTTGCAATCGTACTGATATTTGGAGGAAAAAACTGTACTCTTTGTGTGATATTATCTATATCAGCTTATATAAAAATAAAAGACATAAGTCATACGTGGGCATATTTGCCCCCTTATTGTGAATTTTTGGGGAATTCTAAATGTGCTCGGCAGTAGTCTGACCTACATCTCATAGTGTATGTGTGCAGTCTCTGCGTGTGTTTTTGTTTGGTTTTTGCAATATACTCGATAATGTCAAATCGCATATCGTTTAAACAACAATTACGATATTATCGTAGACCATATATATCGCACACCCCTAGCGTCTCGTGAGCGCTGTGTCGAGAGTGTTTGTTCAGCTTGTGTTGTGTGTCAGTGGAGCACACACACACACAGACAGAGACAGTACCGTGTGTTTGCTCATGGTGGAGTTTGATGGCTCACTTTATTCAACATGAAAGAGTGTTTTGATGCTTTTCACTCTTCACTGATTCTCTGTCTCTCACGGTCTCAGACCCATGTTTTAACATGTTTTTTAAAAAAATTTTCTGGATTCTTTTTTAATGGTTAAATTAAATAATCAAATAAAATATTAAAAAAGCATGTCTAATCAATTGAAATCATGAAACTTACGCAATTTAACAATTTATTAAATGTTTAACAAAAAAGTATTCCTTGGGGCTCAATAAAATCTATTTTATTTTCCAAATTTTTTTATTATTTTTTTCTCTGCATGATATTGGAGTTTTCAAACACAGTCTGCTCTCAGAAATCATAATTATTAATAAATTAAATAAATACAATTTATAAAATTAAAATAAATAATTTAAAGAAATTTTTAAGCTGCTGCACCTTAAGAAACATGTAAATGTGAAAATATAAACATGAATAACTTTTCCAAAAATTCCCCTTTTTTTAACATGCTTTTTAAAAAAAATTTCTGGATTCTTTTTTAATGGTTAAATTGCTTTTCACTCTTCACTGATTCTCTGTCTCTCACGGTCTCAGACCCATGTTTTAACATGTTTTTTAAAAAAATTTTCTGGATTCTTTTTTAATGGTTAAATTAAATAATCAAATAAAATATTAAAAAAGCATGTCTAATCAATTGAAATCATGAAACTTACGCAATTTAACAATTTATTAAATGTTTAACAAAAAAGTATTCCTTGGGGCTCAATAAAATCTATTTTATTTTCCAAATTTTCCAATTTTATTTTTCCCAAATTCTGTGTTTTCCATTTTCATTTTTCTAGATTCCATATAATGGTTTACTTAAATCAAGTAATCCAAAGGCATCTGAGTTTATAAAACTGTAACAGTTTAATCATTTATTAATACTTTTACAATGATAGGTTCCTTTTTTTTTAAATCAAACTAAATGCTGCACAACAGATATTTACGGTTTAAATTAATACAGATGTGAAAAAGATACGCAAAATATGTGTATTCCTTTTATTATTCCTTATATTATTATTATTATTACTACTACTACTACTGCTACCTTGAGAAGTATATTCTACTGTACAATAGTAATATTTGTGTCATAATTTCTTTAAATCATAGTATATGCTGTATATGAAGCTGCAGCACTCATTCACACAGAGACAGACTGAACAGCCAGACTTCATATTAAATAGCAGTGTTCATGAGCTTTAAGATTCACAGACGCTAGTGCTGTATTGTAAATTCCGTTCTTAAGACTGGATTCCATTCGTTCTGTAATGTGGAAATCATAGAGCGCTGCTCACACATTCACACGTTTGCTGTCACATCCAACAGAAAATGCAGCTGTATCAGATACATTCTAACAGTCATCTGGAAATAAACCCTTGTTTCTGACAGAGATTCTTCAGCATTAGCTGATGTGTTTTTCATGTTTGGCTGATAAATATCAGAAGATGACTTTTCTATATTTTGACGTCCCATATCTTCTTCATTAGTTTACGGTCACAGTTGTGTTTAAGAAATGATACAAAGTATATGAAATAGAGCATAGGCCTGGGCGATAAAACGGTATCGATATTTATCAACGGTACACCTTCTTCGATAACGATATAAAAAATGTTTGATATAGTGCAGGATATAGGCAGGGGCTATGAGTGACGCAGACAGCACACACAAACACGAACACATGCTGAAATGAGTGCTGTGCCTGCCTGTGATTAAAGATTGTGAATAAAGAATGAATATTAGTCGAATTTAAAAGGTTATAAAAAAAGTCAATAATTATCGATACCGAACGATATGAAACATTATATCGTTGATAATTTTTTTAGCTATATCGCCCAGCCCTAATAGAGCATATAGAAAGTATTATAGCATTTGTTTGTTATTGTTAGTAACTGAAAGGCAAATGTTTGTGGTTTAGTTCGGTCTGTGGAGGATGTTTCAGGAGGTTTGATCTCCGATGATGAGCTGTGGTCTTTGTGTGTGTTAGTGTGCCGGCCGTGATGACGACAGAGGTGGGATCAGAGAGCGACGTGAAGAAGGACGCGGAGAAGGCTCCTGAAGTCCAGCAGCAGACAGACCAGCCCGACAAACCCGACCCGGCCGGTGCTGAGCAGACACAGGTAGAGCTGACATCATTCCTCCACATACTGCGCTCTGATTGGCTGTTAGGGAGCATGCGTTGACACCCGTTCAGAACAGACATCACACGACTGTGTTTGTGCAATAAATACTGCATTAGGGCTGAGTATTGAGAAACATTTCTTGCAATTTGATTCTATTTCAGTCTTGATTCAATTCAGTATCGATTCATTTTGATATATATTGGCAATTAAGGTCCTGTACATGTACGTTTCTCTTAACTAATGCTATAAACTATACAGTAAAAGCTGTCAGGTGGTGCATTTACTGAATTAAACTGATTAATGAAGGCAGTATTTGTAATAAGAATTTATAATATAATTTATTATAATAACTTTTTAATCAAAATAATTGTTTCAGGTGTTGTTGTTAAAATAAAAACATGTTAACCTTGGATGCCATTGCTTGTTTTCTGAATGGATTTATTCAAACATACATTAAATATCGAAGAACAGGTTAAATAAAAATATAATGAATATGTAATAAAATGCATATATTTAGCAAAACGTTGTTTTTTTTCTAGCTAGTTTATGGACATTTTCACAAGCTGCTTTATTGCCATCTTTCTGTGTTGAAAACACTGATCGATTTCACGAGACATGACTCATTTCAGTAAGTTGTTCTGTTTTCTTCTGATGTTCGATCATGTAACTAATAGCAAAGAGGAAGTGATGATCGACTCACGTGTCACTTGATCTGTCAGAACACATTAAAGAATGACAAAACCTGGTTATTTTTTTAATTTAGCTATAAAACTGACAGAATTTGAAAGCTGATACTTCATTTCAAAAGTTACAAATCACAAAGCTTATTGTAATTTGGACAGGAGACAAAATAAGGTTTTGTGAAGTTTTGTTCACACATCAACAGAAAACAGCATAGATGAATTCTTGTGATTGAAGAGTCGATATCAGCTCATCAAAATGAGAAGCGATTAAAGTCCAGGATTGTGCATGTTGTGCAGGAGGAGAGCCCGAGCGCCGAGGCCGAGAGCGATCAGGAAGCGGCTGCGTCTCCGGAGCCCAGCAGTCCTCCTCCTGCTGCCGGCAGCCAGAAGAAAGAGAAGGGCATCTCTCGCTTCCTGCCTCCATGGCTTAAACGACAGAAATCACAGAGCCAGGACAAGCCCGGCGAGAGCTCAGCGCCGCCCAAGCAGGAGAGCGTGGAGGCCGTGAAGGAGGAGCAGGAGGAGACGAGCCAGCTGAAAGAGGAGGCGGACGGAGGAGGCGCAGCGACCGCCAGCACAGAGCAGACAGAGGAGGTGAAGGAGGTGAGAGAGGAGAGCAGAGCAGAGCAGGTGCATCCGGAGGAGAAGGAGACAGAGGAGGAGAAGTCTATCGGCAGTGCTGACACACAGGTGAGACAAACATGCATGAATGAGTCTGTAGATAATATACACTACCAGGGGTCAGGAAGATTTTATTTATTTTTTTTATATAAATTAATGCTTTTATTCAGCAAGGACTCATTAAATTGATCACAAGTGACAGTATTTCAAAAGATTTCTATTTCAAATAAATGCTGTTCTTTTGAACTTTCTATTCATCTCTGAATCCTGCAAAATAAAATGTATCACAGTTTCCACAAAAATATTGTGCAGCACAACTGTTTTCAACATTGATAATAATCAGAAATGTTTCTTGAGCAGCAAATCAGCATATTAGAATGATTTCTGAAGATCATGTGACACTGAAGACTGGAGTAATGATGCTGAAAATACAGCTGCGCATCACAGGAATAAATTACAGTTTAACAGAGATTCACATAGAAAACAGCTGTTTTAATTATAATATTTCACAATATTACTGCTTCTTCTGTATTTTTGATCAAGTAAATGCAGCCTTGGTGAGCAGAAGAGACTTTTTTCAGAAACATTGCAAATCTTGCTGACCCCAAACTTTTGAACGGCAGCCTGTGAGTGATTTGCTTGAACTCAGGAGACATTTGTCTACATCATGCACTGAATCAGTCACATGAACTGCTGGATGGAGCGCAGTGTTCATTTCTCAGTTTTTGTCTTTTGACAAAAATATCATTTAAGTTTAGTCTGTGTTTTGTCATGTTCATTCATTTCAAACACTTTCACTCTGATCAAATTTAAGTTGACGCAAATAACATTTTGTCAAAATGCAAAATTAAATAAAAATTTTTAAACCAAATATTTTATATATTAATTTCAACAATTTTAATCAATATTTTTATATATATATATATATATATAT